GGGCTGAAGAGATGGCTTCAGTTAAGAACACTGGCTATTCTTGCAGAAGATCTGGGTTCAAATCCCAGCACCCACATGGCAGCTAACGACCATCCCTAACTCCATTTCCAGGGGATCCAACGCCTTCTTCTCTCCTCCATGGGCACTGCATGACAGGTGCACTTACATACATGCAGGCAATACACTTGTATACATAAAACAAATTTTAAAAATTGGGCTGGAGAGATGGCTCAGCAGTTAAGAGCACTGACTGCTCTTGCAGAGGACCTGGGTTCAATTCCCAGCACTCACATGGCAGCTAACAACTGTCCATAATTCCAGTACCAGGTATCCAGTGCCTTCTTCTGACCTCCTAGGGCATTGCATGACACAGGCACACTTACGTACCTGAAGGCAATGCTGTCCTACAAATAAATAAATAGATAAATAAAAATTAAATATATATATGTGTATATTTGTATATATATATACACACACATATAGTATTTATTTAGTTAGTTGGAGGGGGTTGGGGGTTACTGTGTGCCACAGGTACATGTGGAGGTCAGAAGACAAACTGTGAAAAGTACATTTTCTCCTTCCATCAGGTGGGTGGGACTTGAACTCAGGTCATCAGGCTTGGCAGCAAGTACCTTTACCTTCTGACCCATGCAAATAGCCCTAAATCAAATTTTTGTGTATTGGAGATTAAGCCCAAGACCTTTCCAAAAAAAAACACTAAGCATGTGCTCTGTCACAACGATATCCTAAAAAAAAACTTTTTAGTACAATTATATACTGTGTAATGTTTGGAATATATTTATGCTAAGAAGCAACAAAACAAATTTGTTTATCTAAACTTTTTTTTTTCAGTGCTGGTATTTTACTCAGGGCCTTGAGCATGCTAGGCAAGCACTCTACCACTGAGCTGCATTCCCTGCTCAATTTCAGATTTAACCAGGCATCCTGTACCCATCTGACAACACAAACCAGCCTCCACCAGCATTTTCACATCAAGTGATGCTTAAATAGTAACCATGGCCCATTTCCCCCAGACCCAAGTGATGCTTAAATAGTAACCATGGCCCATTCCCCCCAGACCTCAGGAACCCAGACTAGCAGGGTCAAGGCACCTCCCCACCCCACAGACCCACTCCCCTTCTGGCTGGCCACACCCATTTCCCTGGCATCTGGCTCCTACCTCCCACAGCCCACCTGTGGGTTCATTCTGCGTACCCTTTCTGGAAATGAGCATCAACCCTTGCTCTGGCTACAGGGAGTGCCATTCACCGATGCCCTCCACCAGTAACATGGTAACACGCAAAAGAGGATGCTGGGACCTAACTGGGCACACCTCTGAAGGCCCCGCTAGCCGCACAGAGCCTGTGGGGTCGGCTGAGGTTGCCAGTGGCCCTGGAGCAAAACTGTGCTTCTGAGGGTGGACAGCTCAAGCAAGCAGATCCCCAGACCCTGATCACCCAGCCCCAGTACCTAGCCCCAGCCTTCCGTACCAGTACCACTGTGCCTGAGGCTGGAAACCAACCATAAGGGAGACATGGTGGGTGGCTTTAATGGTAGCTAATGGCTTTCATTTGACTTTCCAGTTCAATCTAAATTACCCATGGCAAACACCAATTACTTTTACAATAAGAAAAAAAGTGAAAGCTTTTGTTGTGTTGTTTTGAGATAGTCTCATGCAGTCCAGGCTAGCCTTAAACTACATACCCAAGGCTGGCCTTGAACACCTGATTCTCCTGTATTTACCTCTTCAGGATTCAGATTATAGATACATGCTACCAAGCCAGGCTTGAAAGTTTTTTCCTTAAAAAAAAAAAAAGGTTTATTTTTTAAATTACATGTTGTGTGTGTGTGTGTGTGTGCGCACACACACATGAGTGCAGGTGCCAAGGAGTCCAGAGGCATTAGATCCCCTAGAACTGGAATTACAGGCAGTTGTGAGCTGCCCATTGTGGGTGCTGGGATTTGAACTCGGGTCTTCTGAAAGACCAGTACATGCTCTTAAGGACAGGGATATCTTTCCATCTCTTTTTTTTTTTTTTTGGTCTTTTTGAGACAGGGTCCCCTGCTGTCCTGGAACTCACTATGTAGACCAGGCTGTCTTCGAGCTCACAGAGATTCACCTGCCTCTGCCTCCTGAGTGCTGGGATTAAAGGCATGCTCCACCATGCCCAGCCTTCTTTTTTCTTTTAAAATTTGTTTTACATTTATTTGTTAATTCAGATGTGTGTCTGTGTGTGTGCATGGGTACACTTGTGGAAGTGCCACAACATGCCCAGAGGTCAAAGGACAACTTGTGGGAATTGGTTCTTTCATTCTACCATGTGGCTCCCAGGAACAAACTCAGGACTTGGTGGCGAATGCTGTTACCTGCTGTGCCATCTCACCAGTCTGAAAGGGTTATTCTTCCCTTCTGTCTTGTTTTTGTCTTCTTTTTAATGATTTATTTATTCTTATTTGTACAGGTGTTTTGGTTGCCTACACATATACTGGTATGTGTGTAGTGCTCATAAATGCCAACCACGAAGGTGGTAACAGAGCCATGTCATGTGGGTCCTGGGATTCAAACCCAGGTTTTCTGCAAGTGTTCTTAACCCCTGAGGCACCTCTCCAGCCCCTTTTCTTCTTCTTTAAGAAAAATGTAAGACCAAGGGCAGGGACTAGCACAGGGGCAGAGCCCTTGCCTAGAATCTGCCAGTGAGGGGTTGGGGGTGGTGGCTCAGCAGTAAAGTGCTTGCCACAGTATGGGCCAGGCCACAGGTTGGCTCCTGTTCCTATGTGGCACACCCATTCCTCCCAGCCCCTTCCCTGGCTTCCACAAGGAAGACCCACCCCCAAATTGGTGAGCCCCTAGCTCTGATGGCCTCTCCTGTCCTTTCTGACCCTCAAGGCTCACTGTAGTTTTACTTTCCAGTGAGGTTTCCCACCACCACTCACTCCTGCTGGGGATGCTGCACCTCCTAAGGAACAAGAAGCTGACAAGCGACCTGAGGGCCCTAAGGCCCTCAGTTAGGGCCTCTCTATGCCAGGACTTGGGGACGCAGATACGGGACACATCTCCTGCACCCACAGACTCCGCAGCCAAGGAGGAAGTCACTCAGAAGCAGAGACCAATGTGAACAGAGGGTACTAGGGGAGGGGAGCAGGCTGGGGAGAAGGGCTGCAAATGAGGAAGCTTCTGGAAGACACAGAAGTCTCTGGAGAGGAGAAGGGTTACAGGTGAGACCAGTGTGACCCGGCTGAGGAACTGAAAGAGACTCAGAGAAGTTAGGGGCAGAGGGAGAGTGAAGCAGAGTCCGGGGCCGGAGAGGAGCTGGTCCTATTCAGGGAGACAGCGCATCTGTCAAAGGAGAAAGATTGGCCAGGGAGTGCCCTGTACATGTCCATGTCCTTCAGAGACACAGTCCTTGTGGTCAAGTGTTTGGTGGCAGCCCCCTGCCACAGTCTAGTCAGTGATGCTCACTTAGAGTTCACTGGGAAGACCCCGGAGGCAGAGGGCAGCCTGGCTGGGGCACACCCAACCTGGGAGACTGACAGGGATTTTTCTTCTTAGGGGCTGGGACACAGGGTCTGAGTATAGCCCCCCTGAAGAAATCGCCAATCCAGTGCCCTGAGGAGAGGCAGACTCTTAATACTAGGCCAAGGGGGAAGTGGGGCAAGAGGGCCATCCGGTACCAGCAGGACACAGCACACCTCCAACAGAAGCAGTTGCCCCAGGCCTTAAGGGCCTAATGGAAGCCTTTTGCTTTGGTAGTTCTTTGGTTCTGAGAAAAAGAAAGACCAGAGGGGTCTCACTTCTATCTCTCAGCTAGCTGTTTCCTAGAGTTAATGTTCATTCCTTCCTTCAGTCAATCTTTCATTCATTCTACAAACATTTACTTGGTGCTGAGCCAGTGTAGAGCAATGACAGAGATAAATCAGATTCTTAGCCTGAAGGCACTTTGGTCTAGAGGGCGACAGACAAGACATAAATAACGCCAGGGCTGACAGGGTCCAAGAACACAGGACAGGAGGTGACAGTCTCACCTGGGGCATCAGGGAACTGGCCTGGAAGGGGGATGACTGGTGGGTGACCATGCAGACAAGTGGATGATGAAAGCCAGGATAGGAGGGCAGTTTCCCAAATCATTCACAGTTGGCACCCCAGCTGTGCCAGGGTCCCTGACAATGTGAGCTATTTCTGATTGTGCCTAGAAAAAAAACACCTAGTAATGGCATGTATGGCTGACCCTGCCACGAGGTGGGGGGGTGGGGGTTGGGGGGAACGGTTGGGGCTTAAAGCAGGAGTTTGAAGCTGGGTCTGATTAAGCTCTGGGATTTCCCACTGTGTCCCCAACACACTAATGACCCTTTAACCTTTCCACAGCCTCCTTAAAGCTGACTACTAGAAGGTCCCAAAGGGCAGCAAATGGTATGAGGTTGGGGGGGGGCAGTGTGGCGCAGACAGCCTGTGCTGCATTTGCGGGGCCTTCAGCGTGACTGCCTCCTCTCTTTCCACCTTCCACCCCTGTTAGTGGGGGAAGGGGTGTAAGGACAGAAGGAAAGTACCTGTAATCTAAACCAGACATGACTGCCTGTGCTTCTCTACAGCCCACTCTGATCCAGAAATAACATACACAAACAAGCCAGCATGGGCCCACCCACCACAGCTGGCACCAGAAAAACACACTCAATGCCCAGGAACCTGGACCACCCAGGCCAGGCCCCAGCTTCCCAGGGAATCTCTTTACTGCGCCTTCCCCAGAGTAAAGGCCTCCGCACCAGCATCTCTCTCCAAGGGGCCCAGAGCAGGGCCATCCTGGCATTGCCAGGGTCAAGCCCAAGAGCATCATCATCCCCGGGCGCGCGTCCCCCTCTCTCCAGGTACCTGACCCCGGCGGTACCCACTGCCACCACGCACTGGGGACCTGGACCCCTGCACCAAGGACCCGGACCCCCTCATTGAGGACCTGGATCCACGCACGACCTTCCAGAGCTCTCTCCAAGCTCCAGCCCCCCCTTACCTGGGCACCCGAGCGCACGGCACCATCCGCGGCGCGGCGGGGCTAAGCGGGGCGTCCGCAGCCCGGCCTCAAGCCCGGGCGGCTTCCCGGGCGTAGAGGAAGAGGAGGAGGAGAAGGAGGAGGAAGAGAAGGAGAAGGAGGAGGAGGAGGCGGAGGAGGCTGGTGCGGCCACCTCGCGTCTCTCTCGGGCTGCTGGAAGAAGAAAGGTCAGCGCGGTGGTGGAGCGCAGCGCAGCGCGGGGGCGGAGGCGGATTAGAGCGGCGTGCTGGACCAGCCAATGGCCGCGCCCGGCTGCGCAGGTGGCAGTGCCCGCCCCTCCTCACGGTCCTCGCGGTGCCTGAGATAGCCCGGCCCTGCTGATCCCATGGGTTCACGTGTGGGTGCATGCATGACGGGGGAACTGGGATCTAGCCACAGTGTGAAGAACCCCTCGTGCACCCGTGTGTGGGTACATGCATGATGTGGGTGCATGCATGACGGGGGGGCTGGGATCTAGACACGGTATGAAGACCCCCTACGTACACCCATGTGCATGCATCATGCAGAGGGGAGGGCTTGAAGGCTAGTCAAGAAGTGAGGACCCCCTCCTTCGCTCGTGTCTGGGTGCATGGATGATATGGGTGCATGCATGATTTGGGTGTATGTATGATAGCCAAGAAGTGAGGACCCCCTCCATCCATGTGTGCTTGCATGCTTGACCTGGCCAGGAATGGAACCCTGGAGTGACGACCCGCACCCCCACCCCCACCTCACAGCCCACCCAAACTCAACTCTGCCAATAAGACCCATGTGGACCCCCAGGCCCCAATTCTAGCTGGACTGGCTCTCCGCCAGGCCGACTCCAAGCCATCTCTGGGGCTCTCTAGGACTTGGGGTATAAAAGGTGACCCTCCCAGCAAGCAGTTTCCATGCCTTGACCCCTAAATGCTTCCTGGAGCTGATCATTGTACCAGGGAGTGGGGCCTGAGGCAGAAGATTCATTCACTACGTCAGCTTAGTCTACTGTGCCAGGCTGGGCTGCAGCAGGACAGTACCGTGTTACCGTGTAACCGTTCTAACCCTGTCCTTCCCTGGTTCACACTTTTGAGGGAATCCAGGAGTTGAACAAGGGCTAATAGAATAACCTGTCCTGAAGTGGTATACACAAAGTAGAAAAACAGTGATGAGAGGGAGCCATGTGAGAGTGACCAAGGCCAGGCTGAGTGTGTCGCTGTGGCTGACTGAACTTGAGACCTTCAAGTGGGCAATGATGACTCCAGTTTGCCACTAACCACATTACTCTCTATTATGCCCATGAGCGCATGAGCTGGCCCACATGTGTTTATACTTCCTGAACCCCTTGGCCATGATCACTCACTAAAAGCACTGAAATTCACCACCCCAGGGACCCAGAACAAAGCCCAAGTTGAGAGTTTGTTCTCTTCAAAAAATTCCCTGAGGGGGCTGGAGAAATGGCTTAGTGGTTAAGAGCACTGGTTGCTGTTGCAGAGGACCCTGGGTTCAGTTCCCAGCACCAACATAGCAAACAATCATGTTACTCCAGCTCCAGGGGATTTGAGCCTTCTCCTTGCCTCCGCAGGCATTGCATGACACAGATGGGTGCACTTACATACATGCAGGCAAAGCACTCATACACAGAAAAAAATATATTAATTTTTAAAAATTCCCTGAGCACTGACTGCAAGCTACAAGTTGGAGCCTAGAGGGTGGCAACACCAGTTGAGGAGACCCCAGGGCAACAGCCACCCCAGGGTTGGACAAGACAGCCAAGTGGGTAGAGTATTAGTCAGGGGACAGAATGATAGAATAAATATATACTACAAAGAGACTTTATTAGATTGGCTTACATAACCCAGGCTGGGTAGTCTAGCAATGGCATGCTGGAGCATCCGAGAACCCAGTAGCTGTTCAGTCCACAAGGCTGGATGCCTCAGCAGGTCCCAGCTATGCACTGAAGCCTTGGAGGATTCCTGGAGAGCTGGAGGTCTGCAATGGCCGGAAGGTTAAAGAGGCTGGGCTTTGATGGCTGCGGTAAGCTAGGTGCACTCACAAGCAGGTAGCACAGGCAGGCAGGCAGCTCTGCACCGGCACCCAGTCTCTTTATTCCAGGCTGCCACCAGCAGGTACTGCCCACCGTGGGAGAGGGTCTTCTCCCCTTGGTTAATTCTTCATGAAAATGTCTTCCCAGATCTGCCTAGAGGCCTGTCTCTTAGTTAATACCAGATCCAATCAAGTCAACAATCAGAATTAACCATCAAAACGGATGATGTTCTGGAGGTCTTCAGGGCCAACAGGAAGGCTTCCTGGAGGAGGTAGCTTTTCCAGAAGTGCTGAATCGTAGCTGAGATTCTGATCTGCCAGGCAATGCAGGAGGTAGAGGGAGCTGCTAGAAAAGGGCAGCAGAGCCAGGGGACATAGGCAGGGTTCTCGTTCTCAGGTGTCTGCAGACACCCTCTGTGCAGGGCTGTGCGATAGCTTGGGGCTGATTAGGCCCATCCTCCGCTCCTGCCCCATCAGTTCCCCATCCCAGCTGCCCTCCCCAACTGGAGTTTCCCTTTGGCCCCAAGTGGAGGTGTGAGGCTCCTGAGGGCAGGACAGAGATCTCACTCAGCTAGCTTCTCCCTGTGATTCAGCCTCCTCACCTTGATAACTGTGTGGCAAGCTGTTTAATTGGGGTGTCTGGGGCCCCTTGTCTGAAAGGACACGATTACATCACCACCTCACATGACAGCTTAGGGGAGCCGCAGGCACACCCAGGGCTGGGTTCATCAGGTTGTTGACGATGGTTCCTGGACCAGACCATAAACCAAGGGCCATAAAGCGTCAGGCCTGGTGCTTGGAAACTAGTCTGTGTGGAGAAGATGATGCCTATTTTATTTTTATCTTATTTATTTTAAAGATTTTATTTATTTATTTATTTATTTTTTATTTCCCATTCAGCTCTGGGATGACCCCTTGCCCACTGCTCTGGCAGCACTGGTGGTTGCAGGGATGACCATCACTCCAGTTTCCCGGAGGGGCTGTCTACAGTCTTCTGGGTAGCCATGATAACATGAACTGTGCTCATGAGTCCCTCAACAATGCCAGAGTTATCACAGATGACCTTAGGGGGGCAGTTGATGATGCAGGAGGTGTTGCTGACAATCTTGAGAGGTTGATATGCTTCTCATGGTTCATGTCCATCACAAATATGGGGCATCAGCAGAAGGGGCAGAGATGATGGTTCCACCCTTCAAGTGGGCCCTGACCTCTGTGGTAGTGAGGACCCATTTGTTGGCCGGATCTCACTTCTGGAAGATGGAGATGGTCTTCCTGTTAATGACAAATTTCCCATTCTTGGCCTTGACTGTACCATGGAACTTGCCTTGGGTGGAGTCATATTAGAACATGTAGACCACCTAGTTGAGGTCAATGAAGGGGTCATTGATGGCAAAAATCTCCACTTGGCCAGAGTTGAAGGCAGCCCTGGTGACCAGTTGCCCAATATGGCCATATCCGTTCTGGGTCTCACTGTGTAGCCCTGGCTGTCCTGGAACTCACTATGTAGACCAGGCTGGCCTCAGTCTCACGGAGATCCATCTGCCTCTGCCTTTCAAGTGCTGGGATTAAAGATACATACCACCATGCCTGGCTTTGATTTTATTTTATTATTTATTATGTGTATGTGTCTCTCTATGTGTGCGCAATGCCCAATGAACCCAGAAGAGGGTATTGAATCCCTTGGAGCTGGAGTCACAGGCATTTATGAACTTCCATGTGGGTTCTGGGATTCCAACTGAGGTCCTCTGTAAGAGCAGCAAGCACTTTTAACTGCTTAACCATCTCTCCAGCCCCTGGTATCTATTTTTATAAGTCTCTCCTCCTGGCCGGGCGTGGTGGCGCACGCCTTTAATCCCAGCACTCGGGAGGCAGAGGCAGGCGGACCTCTGTGAGTTCAAGGCCAGCCTGGTCTACATAGTGAGTTCCAGGACAGTTGGGGCTACAGGGAGACCCTGTCTCAAAAGACCAAAAAAAAAAAAAAGTCTCTCCTCCTGTCAAACACAGTGCTGTGGAATCTCCCCTTAAGAGAGAGTTGTTTTCATGTCAAGAGACTCTTTTTTAAAAAAATTTTTTTTAATTAATTAATTTATTTATTTATTTTTTGGTCTTTTTTGAGACAGGGTCTCCCTGTAGCCCCAGTTGTCCTGGAACTCACTATGTGGACCAGGCTGGCCTTGAACTCACAGAGATCCGCCTGCCTCTGCCTCCCAAGTGCTGGGATTAAAGGTGTGCGCCACCACGCCCGGCTCATATTTTTTTACTTATTATTTTTATTTTATGTGTATGAGTGTATTGCCTGAATGTAGGTAAGTGCACCCATGTTGTGCAATGCCCACAGAGGACAGACGAGGCTGAAGGATCCCCTGGAACTGGAGTTAGCTGCCATATGGATGCTGGGATTCCAACCCGGGTCTTCTGCAAGAACAACCAGTGTTCTTAACCGCTGGGCCATCTCTCCAGCCCTCATGTCAAGAGATTCTTAACTTGATTATCTAGAAGGGGCAAGCCAGAAAAATCAGCCCCTCCCCTTCTCAAGTACCCTATCCCCAGTTTGTGATAAAGTGTTTTGATGGAGACAGACTGGAGTCCAGGGATGATAACCTTTAAAAGGTGAGCTAGTTCAGAGGGTAAAGGTACCTGGTACCTATTGACTGCGTTCAATTCTCAGAGCCCATGTAACAGAGAAAACCAATTCCATAAAGTTGTCCCCTGACCTCCACATGCATGCTGTGGCAAATACGTGGCCCTCCACATACATAAATAAATGTTAATTTTAAAATCTTTTTTTTTTTTTTTTTGGTTTTTTGAGACAGGGTCTCCCTGTAGCCCCAGGCGTCCTGGAACTCACTATGTAGACCAGGCTGGCCTTGAACTCACAGAGATCCACCTGCCTCTGCCTCCCAAGTGCTGGGACTAAAGGCATGTGCCACCATGCCCAACTTAAAGTCTCTTTTTTGAAAAAAAATAATCAAGAAAATAGGGACTGGAGAAATGTCTCAGTGGTTGCAGAGGACCTGGGTTCAGTTCCCAACACCCACAAGGTGGCTAACAACCATCCATTACTCCAGTTCAGGGAATCTGACATCCTCTTCTGGCCTCTGTGCAAATTGCATGAGCATAGTACACTTAAATACATGCAGGTAAAATACTCATACATGTAAAATAAGCCTAATAAATAAAATATTTTTATAAAAAATAAGGTGAAAAGTCAGCCGTGGTGGTGCATCCCTTTAACCCCAGCACTGGGAGG